CAGCGATCTGAAGTACGCTAGTGATATCGCTTGGTTGTTCAAATGTATGATGAAAACGAAAAGTGCATTCGACGCATGGATCTGGCTCCGTTTCTCCTAATTCCCTCCACGTCTGGAAGTTGCAGAACAATACTATGAGATTGCGCTTCGGCTATTCTTTTGTAATTATTAGAAAAATGATGGCATTGGTACTCAGGCAGTTGATTCACTAATGGTGGTAGTGTAGTGATATAGGCGATCAGACGCATGTCCGAGGACCGAGAACCGTAGAAAAGATGTCACACTGGTGTTCAGAAGTTACAGTAAGGTAAGTTCAGCTTCACGACAGTGAGAACTGGAGTATGCATGTGAAAGACATCGGTCAATTGGGTTTGACAGTGGAAGTCAGCGTATGTCAATTCAGTTAGGAAGAAGCAAACAAGTTAGCAGCAACCAGTGGGTCCTCATGTAATTTAAAGTATCCCGATGGATGACTCGTTATCACCAGAAACTCGCATGTCATAAATTCGACTGTTGGAGTATCCATGATACATACTTAGCAGTCATCTCTCGCAATGTGTCGCGTTCCTGATGTCTGCTCTTAAGGCACAAGGATCGATGTTCATATCCAAAAATAACGTTAGTAAGAGGTGTAACGAATTGCATTTGTAAACCCTCCTTTCTCGGATTAGATTCAAAAAGGGAGCTAGGTCGATCACTGAACATACTACAATACATGGTAGCAGACCGAAAACTGTTCCATTACTTTTGTCAATCCTTCTCAAGCCTCAACTTTTGATGTGGTGTACACGCACTGAAAGACAGTGAAATTTGTAAGAGGTTTGCTCTCCACCCTCATCCCCATCCCTCTCACAGAGTTCTGCGTTCTGTTCGTTTCGTGAGCCACAGAGCAGCTTCAAAGCAGATCACATATCATGAGGATTCACAAGAGCTTCAGTACACACCTGACTTGGGTGCCTTATTATCATTTTGATTGAAACTGATATTTATTTCACGGCAGTACGCCTGTCAGTCATGCAGGTCTTTTCTCTATCAAAACAAACCCGTTTTAGAAGAGGCGAAAATAATCTATCGGCAGGATATATACGCTAAATTGGGCTACACAGATCAAGCAAAAATACTGATAGCGGGTAGGATACTCAAAAGCTGGAATAGTTATTAGCATTAGCCAAAACGGATAAATCGGTAGAAGAAACCATGTCATTCTAGAGGCAACAACATCAACCGCATAATGTTTAGATGCAAAAAAATGGGACGGTGGTCTACTTTGCTGGTGTAAGAAAAACATTTTCGAGTTGTCACATATATGCTATCAAGGACAAGATCGGGTCGAGTAGGACAAATTACAAAGTTTATCGTAGCTGAAGTTGTTACGAGAGCGATGTTGAAATAATTCAAATCACCAGTAGCACAGCTTAGAGATTGATACCAAACTGTTTCAAGCTGAATGGAATCCATAAAGAAAATATTACCAGAAGCAGACGTATTGGGAGCAATGTAAAGGCTAGTTAGTTTGATACGATCAAAGCAACCGTAAAACTGGGACTTACAATAAACAACCAAAATACATGAATATTTACACCTAAGATTCCATTGATGAAAGTGCTAAATGTTATTTCAAGACTGAGTTGGTCATGTACCCAGCTTCCCTCCAACCGAGGAAGTAATAGAGACACGTTTTGTTATTTGGGTAGCTATATCTCACCCGGTGGACGCATCACGGATGAAGTGTCAGCTCGCATACAGATGGCTCAGTTGCCATTTGCCAACCTGGGACATCTGTGGCGCCGTCGCGACATCCTGCTGTCTGTTAAGGATCGAGTGTATGCTGCGGCAGTTCGGCCAGTTCTGCTATACGGCGCAGAAACATGTCCATTTAGGAGGTAGGATAAAGATAAACTGTTGGTGTTCGAACACCGCTGTCTACGCAGTATTGCACGAATTTGGTGGGGAAGCCGGACGAGCAATGCTGAGGTCGGGCGCAAAGTTTTGGGCAATCACGGTCGCCCACTGGAGCGAGTGGTCGACCTCCATAGATCAGGTTGTTTGGGCATGTGTTACGCATGTCAGGAAATAGGTTGCCACGGCGAGCGATGTTTGCCGACTCAGGTAATGGACGGAAGAAAGCCAAGGGTGGTCAAGCTAACACCTAGAATGAGG